AATTATTTCCTCGGAACAGTTACTCTTTTAATCTGACTCGACAACTAATTGTCCATGACCCTTTTTGTCAAAACGAACACTGACAGCCAAAACCAGACCGTTTGAATGGGGAGCCTGCGTTAGCTAGCTACTAGAACGACCTACGATCAAGTATCCAAATGGCGTATACCCGCTTTACCAGTCAAGTATCAAGATTCGTTGCGGCTCTTGACAACGAAAACTGTTCCGGTTATACTTATCCAGGAAACTTCTAGCTTGCTCGACTTCGAAAACTGTTCTGCGATTTTGGCGAGTTTTGCTCGGCCTTTTATACTCGCTAGTCTGGCAATTTCTCGGAAAATCCCCATAATGTCAAAATATATAATTGTCGTATAAATTCGTAATTAAACATTAATTGTACAAACGAACGATTTAATTACATTATTAATATCGCATTCTACATAGTGGTTTATATTCCTGATATAAAAATAGTAATTTAATAGTGTTTTAATGAAAATTGTATTTTCTATCTCATTCTATACACTACATATTCCTGATATGAAAATAGTAATTTAATAGTGTTTTAATGAAAATTGTATTTTCTATCTCCTTCTATACACTACGCACGACTTCTATACGGATCTGAGCTAAATGTATAAGCATACGATGCTTCTCGAACATTCCATTGAATAATATTATAATTTACAATATACACTGCGATAAACTAACATCTGACTTTAGTTCCGGATAACATAATATTAGTACGCTTAATATGTATTGACTGATTTGTTTAACTAATGGTTTTTAATAACTAATAATATCCTAATTGTAAAATATATTCCTATCCTTTTCTAAGATAACGCAAGAATTCTAGGAAATTCGGGGCGAGCATCGTAGCTCGTAGGCACATAGCATTGCGGAATTTTCCATGTAGAATTATACATTTATTCGAATAACTATAAAACAATACATTAATCTTGTTTTAAATAAATTAACTTAACATTTGATTGATTTAGTGAAACATATTATCCTTTCTAAATTGAAAACATACAATAATTATTGAAAATTAAAATATATTTATATGCTCGATTACCGACTGTCGAAATTAATACATAAGGTAATTGGTATATAATGTACTGTCGGTAATAGTCAATTATTGTCGGTAACTAAACTATTCTCACGATGGGTAATTGAATTGAGCACAGAACTGCCATGTTGGTGACGAAAAGAAAAAACTCTTCCAGGGATGTTACACGAGGAATGACAAAGTTGTTGAAATTGAAAATCGAATTGCCTTTCAAATAATTATCTAGTCACTGCTGTTCTTTGTTATTGATGGTTCGAGTATGAGGAGTAATTTTAAACGAATCTGTCTCAATTTCAAATCGGTTGTCATATGTCTTAGTTTGATCATTTGGAATTGGTTCCGAAAGTCTGTTTATTTGGCTTTCTCGTTAATAATAAGTGTCTTAACAAAATGAAAGAGGAAAAAGTTTTACTGTTCTTTATTACCGATATAATAGTGTGTATACTCTTTTTATATTTGCAATATTTTTGGAGGAACGAAAATGACCCATAATTTTTTAAATGGAACTATATACTTTTTCTTAGATAAATCGATTCTCTGAAATATTCTGAATAAAAGAGTATTAGGGTATAATGGTAAAAAAAATTATAATTTCTAAGATATCTTAAGTTATTTTTTAACATAGTATGCCATCTTTGACATCACCTTGTTCATAAGTGATAGTGGATATCAAAAAAATAACACAAACTTGCACACCTGTGGCCATGGACGAACATTTCGATACCATATGTATAGGGGTGCACCTTGCCATCTTCTCACATAATTGCCGGCTGGACACAGCTAATAAAGATATTTCATAATATTTTAAGATTTTAATTTAATATTTACTATAACGCTTAAAAATAAAACGTTTATTTGCCCAAAGCCTATAACTATGTTGGTAATTGTTTCATAAAAAGTTTATCCCATCTAAACACTACACTGGTGGCCAAAATTAACGCACCACTTTCTTTACACCGTCGTCATTTCCACTGTGTAGGAGGCAGGACTTTGAAATTTTGAGGATAGGTGGGCCCATGGGTTGTCTCAATACTCCACGAGTGCCATTGCTACCTGCCACCCCTTCCGGGATCGGCGACCCCTTGAATACTACAGAGTCAAGAAAGTGACAAAAAAGGTTCAAAGTGACAAAAAAGGTTCTGTGACAAAAAAGGTTCTAAATTCGACCGAAAAAAAGAAAAAATCCAAAATTTTTGTCAAGGATGAGGCTCTTTATGTTACGGCCTTTCCGAAAATGCCCAGCTCAACCCCCTCCAACACCCCCAACCCTCTCCATAATTTTCTACCCTTTCCAAAAGGGTGGTTGTTGATGACAGGAACGCGAAATATTTCATTTTAGTGGATAATTATCGGCATTTTTTAGTTTGTCGCGATTTGGCGACAACAGTAGACACTGGCGACAATTGTTGCGCGCTATTTACACCTTGTGATCATCATAGCGGAACCTGGAAGATAGATCATAAGCAGGATGTGGAAGATGTATCCAGCTATTTGAGACGAGGCAGGCCCGATGTTGAGATTACGGCTAAGATCAATTCTGTCCTGAATCAGTGGTATGCCGCCAATCCATGGCGTAGAACCCTGAGCGGGAATAGTACGGTCGGTGTTGTTAAAAAAAGTTGGGTCCCTAATGTCAGAGAATTGTTGGTCGGTAGAGACGACTATGTTAAGCATAGTGAGAGCATATTGGAGGATGCTGTTAAGGCTGTCGCCAATTTGTTCCGATCATTCTCGTCAGAAACTCGAGCACCGGTCAGTGTTGCAAAGAGCTTGTTGGACGACTGGAGTTCTACAGTGTCGACGGAATTGATTTCGAAAGAGAGGGAAATACTAGACAAGGTGGCGGAAATTTTGTCTAACTCTACGTTAAAACCGAGCTCGTTTGTCTTCGTATTCCAGGAGAGTCCTAAAACCTTCTCTCCTCCCCAGTCGCAGATTCGCATATTCTTGCGATCTACGGATCTCCTCGTACCCTATACGGATTTGAGGACAGACGCGCGGTTGCTCGCCCATCCGTGCATCTTGAAATTGGCGCGCGCATTAATTTTGTTACGTCTGCCACCATTTTCGCGGCTTCTTTCGCTGTCTTACAGCTAGTCAGGAAATCGTCTATGCAGCTGTTTTTTATTATATTCCGGCATGCGTCCGACATGATTTCGGAAAACTCCATGGCGTTCTTGTCTTTAACATACATCGCGTTGCATGGAGATGACTTAGCGCCGAAAGGGAGACAAGTCGTCTCGTAAGTATCAGGTCTGACATCGCATTGTTTGCCACGCCATAAAAATCGCTGAGCTCCGCGATCCGCGTCTCTTACTTTAATACGCATGAACATATCTTCAATGTCCGACTTAATCGCGATATC